CTGGTGCAGCCGGTTGATGACCGGCAGCCTCTCCTCCTCCCCCAGAGCCACGTCCTCGCGATCAGCGGTGCCCTGCCAAGAGGGTAGCGGGGCGGGGGGGAGAGCGGGACAGAGGGGGGGGGAGGGGGAGAGGGGGAGAGGGGGAGGGGTAAAACCCCAGGTGACCGGCACGTCCCGGTACGTCGGCGGGTGGGAGGGAGGGGAGAGGAACCGCACCGACTCATCCCCCGCCCCGCCCCTCCCGTCCCCCAGCGCAGCCGGTGGCGGTGGTGGCGGTGGTGGCGGTGGCGGTGGTGGCGGTGGTGGTGGTGGCGGTGGTGGCGGTGGTGGTGGTGGCGGTGGTGGTGGTGGTGGTGGTGGTGGTGGTGGTGGTGGTGGGTTTGGGGATTATGGCCTCCGACCACACCCAAGCGGACACCTACATGCACCCCCCAACCTACCTACCTACCTACCTACCTGCCTACACACATGCTCTTACCTTGAACGGCGCCGCGAACCAGTCATCAAACTCTTGTTGGCAGCTGAACACGGCCGGCATCAGGAAGTTGAGTAGCGCCCAGAGCTCAGCCAGGTGGTTTTGCAGCGGAGTGCCGCTGAGCAGCAGCCGGCAGCGGGGCCGCAGGGAGGAGAGCACCGAGAAGAGGGCGGAGCGGCGGTTCTTGAGCCGGTGACCCTCGTCCACGATCAGCACCTGCCAAGGGACCTAACGAAAGGGGGCGGGGGGAACGGGGGGGGAGGAATAAGGCAAACAAGGCTATTTCGTATGGCTACTTTGTACGGCTTACTCGTACAGGTTTATTAATTAGTATGAGGTAAGGGCGTGAGGGTGGTGGGGAGGTGCGGGGAAACGGGGGGGGGGGAGGAAGGGGGTTGGGAACCACCCAGGGAGGGACTAGACCCGTACGGCAATAAACCCTCCACCCCTGCTCATTCCCCCTCACCTTCTTCATAAGGCCCTTATCCCGAATGATCAAGTCGTAATGCGTCACCACCACCAGCGGACGGTGCGCACCAGTAGCGCCAGTGGCACCATGGCCACCACCTCCGTCACCCCCCTCTCCGCCACCAGAGGAACCCGCCGCTCCCACTGCTGCTACTGCTGATCCCCCTCCCGCCGCCGCCGCCGCCCCCGGCACCGTCCCCGCCTCCGCCACCGCCGCCAGCACCCGCTCCCTCAGCGCCCGCCTCTCCCCGCGGTCCCCGTCGTAGCACAGCGGCTCCAGCCCCGGAGCCCACCGGCTCATCTCCGCCACCCAGTTGGAGAGAACCGCCTTGGGCGCCGCGACCAGGTGGGGGCCCTGGGGGGGGGGAGGCAGGGGGGGGAAATCATGTGATGCAAGAAACTCCGAAATGAACTGCCTGACTGTCGGAAGGCGTCCAGAGCCCGAAACTGCCCCCAGTGAGTGCATCGCGATGAGTCACTGACCCGTGGTTTGGGAAGTAAAGCCCATTGCTACGTTACCGACATTTATTGTCGTGCAGTCGTCGTGTCGGGTCTCGTGATCTTGTCCTTAAGGCCCTTGATGTCCAGCGTATAGTGCAGATGAGCTGCAGCTGCTGAAAGGGTGTCCTAGAAGTTGTAGATCTCGTAAAGAGAGGGGGTGGAGGGAGCAAAACACAGGGCCCCCGCAGCCCCCCCTACACCATAGGGCCCTGCCGTGTGTGTTTTTCCTCGCACATAAGCCCCAACATGCAATATTCCCCCCCCACCTTGCTCCTCCCCGCCTCCGCCAAGTGCGCCAGCAGACTGACGGCCTGCAGGGTCTTACCCAAGCCCATCTCGTCCGCCAGGACACCGCTCATCTGGTGAGGCGGGTGTGGGGGGGTAGGGGAGGTAGGGGGAGGGGGGGTGGGGGGAGGTGGAAGGGGGGGGGATACGAGGGGCAAACCGAAGGGGGGTTCAGCAGCACATGACGTCACGAATACCGAACTGCCGTACGAGTCCAAAAGGGTTCTAGAGGGGGCGGGGCTGTGGTGCTCCTCTGGGGGGATGGCGGACCCGGCAGACAGGTGGTTGCAGGTGGTTGCAGGTGGTTGAAAGTAGTTGCGGCATGTGGACGAACCAAGGGTTGGCGGAGGGCAGGGTCGGGGGATAAGCCCATGTGTGTGTGCGTCAACCTGTGTACGGCACCGGGAAAGGCCACTCAGGTCTTCCCCCCCTCCTTCCCCCTTCCCAACAAACCTATGTGTCTCTCCAAGCACCTGCTCTCCCCCCCTTCGCCGTCCCTTGCCAGTGCCGTACCTTTCTAACCCCCTCCCTCTCCCCCCCTCCCTCACCCCC